CAATTACTTATATTAGATAAGAATATCATTATTGCATATACGTGCACCAATTTGTATATTGGTAGATCGTTATTTTATTTTAGAAGTAATATTAGAATATGTATATTATAAGCAAAAATATACTATAGTAATAATGCGAATACACATAGATATATTTCAACATATATTAGTAGAGTACCTAATAATAACTAATATAATTATAAACGAAGATAATGTACCACTTACGAGATAAGTAATGAAATTTAGTCTCACAAATATTTTTGAGTAATTACTTTTAGCTTCTACATATTTCATTTAATACGTGAAAAAATCTTATTTTAAATGACGAAATACTCGTTATGACGAGAAGATTATTCTGAAGTTGTTTAGAATGATTTGAGGCTGTGACTACATAAAATAAGTAGTTGTAAGTGACATTTTACCTTGATAAGTTGCATGAACTTCCCGAAATGTTGATTTTTTTTATTATTATTTCTTTTATTTACAACTGACCAGTAAAGGACATTCAATAAATTTGATGAATTTACAATAGTCGGCCGAAAAGGGACATTGTATACTATAAGGGCATGTTGGAAAAAACAACGCAGTAGTTGTTTTTTCCATTCGATATAAAATTCACAATATTTTATTGATAATTATATAATTTTAACTATTTACTTATTAAAAAATTTCTTATAAATAATGATTAAGGTGTTTCCATTTTTTATCAGGATGGCTTATTTTTTATTGATGGCTTAAATCCAGTGGCACTTTTCTTTTCAATCTTCTTGGATAGTTCTCTGTTATTAGTGAGTTTGCTAATGAATTTGGGTGACTGTTTATCTTGTTTCTATACTTGTGTGCTGTTTTTGTAATCACTTCATTTATGGTAGATGTATTCGTGTCGACATGAATCGACCAGTGGGAACATATTTTGGAGCTCCTAAGGCAATTTTCAAAAATTTGTTTTGAAATTTCTGTATTATTTCTATGTTAATCTTATGAGCACTGCCCCACAATTGTATACCGTAGCACCAAATTGGTTTGAATAAAGATTTATATAAAAATAGCTTATTGTATGAGCTTAGTTAGGAAATAATTAACTTAATTTATATGAATCAAAATTTATTGAAATTACATCTTGAACTATTTATTTTGAACATAGATTTGCTTTTCATCAAAAACTATCCTTGCTTTCTTACATTTACATGTATGATAATTTAATGTCTTTAGTTCATTTTTATTGTAATACAAAAGTAATTGAGCTTAATTCAATAAGGAAGTAAAATGTAGTAACAACATTTTTCAATTTTGTAAAAAAGATTATATTTTTCATCCGATATCTTATCAGCGCAACTAACTTTGTGATTGACAAACATAATCGTCATTAGCACAATTCGGAAGACACAAAACTGGAGCTCACTGTGCGATGTGAGCGGCACAGTTAACTGGTTAATTATATACAAATAAATCGGTATCTGACAATTCTATGTATGCGCATTGCAATTAAAAATAGTAAAATTCCTTTGCACTATCAATACACGTTCATTAATATATTACCTAAAAGTTTATTCACTTTACACATCACTGTCAACATTCCAAGTTTAAATAGCACACAATGTATCACTTTTCCGAAAATCAAATAGGATAACAAATCGGAAATATATATCTTCTCCTATAGATCCTCCTGCAGTTCGGAGCGCAAAATGTGTACACGTATCCGTATCCAGGTGCGTAAGGACCGGACGTTTGAAAATTGGGTCCGTACGAGGGCCTCATCCGTCTGTGATAAAATGTCCGAGGGTAATAATTGACCCATAGGCGTCGTCAGGGACAGGATCATTTTCTCGAGTTGGGTAATATTGTGGAGTGCTTGAGTGATGACTTCTTCGAGTAGGCAAATAAGTATTTATTGGTTTTTCTGTAACTATGTATATGAAGGCATCTGGTTTCTTCGTTGATGATTCGTAAGGCAGAGGTGATGCGACTGATACTGTGATGATGGCGATCCATATGATCTTTAAAGAATGTGTGAAAATCGAAATAATATCAGACATATTTTTATGAAGCCATGCATATTTGTTCGAAAAGGAATATCATTGATCACGGTTCGCACGATTATACATTATAGTAGGTATATAATGATTTTACCGCTGTTTTTTTTTAAATTTAGGCATCGAGTATTTGATGAAGTAATTCAATCTTGATAATTTTTGTTTGTCATAGAGGTAAATGTTAAATTTATGTATATAAATGTAGATAATAAATACTCTATACAACTAGAGGAAACCAATAAAAAATATGAATAAAAACAATAATAAATTGTATAATACACTACAGCAAAGCATAATCAGAAATTAGTGCAAATATGCTCAGTATAAGAACTGGAAGATTCATTTAAATAGTTCAAGCAAAATTAAATGTAAGTATGTCCTCAATATGATCTACAAATGAAACAAAGCAATTAATTACAAAAATTACGATAGAGAAGAATGAAAGATCTTACACATTTGTATAATGAATAGGATTTAAAAAAGTACAAAATTTAGATAGAGAGCGATAAAACAGTTTTTAAATGGAAAAAAAAAAATAATTAGGAAAATTTAGATGGAAAAGGTCAAAAAATCTTGCACATTTGTATACAAAATAGGGTCTACAAATAGAATAAAGTAAAAAATTTAATTTAAAAAAATTAAGGATCCTACACATTTGTATACAAATTAGAATCTACAAATAAGGTAATAAATTTAATTATAAAATTTGGATAGAAAAATATAAAGGATCTTACACATTTGAGTACTAAATAGAGTATAAAAGTAAAATAAAGTAATTTATTTTATTATGAAATTATAGATAAAGAAGTATTCAATATTGTTTACAAATAAAAAAGTAATAAAATTGATTTGAAAATTGACTATTGAAAAGTATAAAGTGTCTTACACATATGTATACTAAATAGAATCTGCAAATAGAATAAAGTGATAAATTTAATTGGAAAATTTCAGATAGTAAAAAATGGAGGATTTTACAGATATATAAACTAAATATGATCTACAAATGAAACAAAGTAATAAAATTAATTTAAAAAAAATTGCATAGGAAAGGATGAGAGATGAGAGATTTTTACATTTGTATACTAATTAGGATCTTCAAATATAAAAGTAATACATTTAATTGGAGAAAATTATATAGAAAAGGCTGAAAGATCTAAATGGGATCTCTAAATTAATAAAAAGTTATAAAATAAATTAGAAAAACTTAGATAAAACATAATAAAGAATCTTACACATTTATATACATTTAAATTGGATCTACAAGTAAAACAAAATACTACATTTATTTAGAAAAATTTAGATAGAAAAGTCTGAAGAATCTTAAACATTTGAATACTAAATGGGATCTGAAATAACACAAGTTATTGAATTTGATTACAAAAAAATAGATAGAAAAGAATGAAGGATCTTGCACATCTGTAATTAAATAGGATCTACAAATAAAACAAAAACTAAACCTATTTAACAAAAATTATATAGAAAAGTATGGATGATTTTATTATTTCCAACGTTATTAACAAAATTAATTGGAAAAAAAGTCTTTACAAATATTTTATAATTGATATATCGATATCGATTGATATAAATGATTGTCATAAATCAATTGATTATTTTTCTTTACTTTTAATAACTCGTAACAAAACTTCAATATTACCATCTTGTATATCATATGAAATTAAAATTTCATATAACTACGGGTTTTTCTTTTTGGCTTTACTAATTTTCAATACAATAGTATTACCTCCTTTTCAAGTTGAATATATTATATTCGAATATTCGGATTAATGTTCAAAAGAAATTTTTTTGTAATATTTATAAATCACTTAGAATTTGATGGATAACGTATAGAATTTTGCAAAACTAAAGCAATCAGGTTGCAGTTTATCGAATCTGTCACATAAAAATATAGGAAACCGATGCAGTTATAAAAAAATATAAAAACCTTCATCAAAAATCATTTAGAAACTGTTTTTCTAAAGCTACTATGAAATATGACTATTATCTTTGACAAAAAAAAATACAATTCAACTATCGATTTATACTTACTTTAGAAAACATGATTAACGAAGAATTAAAGAAAATTAACCATTCACAAAATTGTTTTATTTATGCACCTATTAATTATGCACTAACTATAACACAAATAATATAACATGTGTGTATCACTTTCTGTTTATAATTGATTTAATAATAAAAATCAATAAACCAGTATGCCACAAATTGTTGACAAAGGTCAATACAGTTCAGGAATCTTATGTGATAATAATAATGCTTCGATGCAATTCTAAGAAAACTAAAAGCGAATGTCAATTCCTTAAAGTGATAATAAAAGTTGACAAGGTTAGGTAATAATATAATAATTAAATTTATATTAATTTAGTACTAATGCATTTTGTTGTATCGTATTAAGACTGTGTATACCTATAACTTGTGTATAATCTTAAATATATCTACTTTATGAGCCATATATTTTGTGAGTTCTAAATAATCTGTGATATATGAGCTAAAGGAATACTATATATTCCGTAACTGAAATCGAAAATCAAATTTAATTAAAAAAACATACTAGTATTGTATACGTGTCTATATTCTTTTATATGTTATATTTTTTATAATTTTGAAGGGTCACTTGGTATTTATTAATTTAGTATACCTCCCAAATATATACTCTACAAAACTCACTATAAATTTTGTTCTTTGAGAGAAATTAGACATCATGAACATTTATTTTTGAAATTGAAACAGTTTAATGATTGATTTGTTGTCACTTTGTAAGATAAAATAAAATTTCAAACTATTCTCGAAAATTCAAAATTATAAAATCATCAATATTTGAACCATGTGAAATATACATACAGACATTGTAACTAAATTTAATTATTCCTCATTTTCAAAAAAATAAATATTTAAGTGTAATATATCAATGTGAACTAAATATATGAAACAGATGATTTGAATATAAAAATATTCAAAAATTTAAAAATATTAAGTTGAAAAAAAAGTAGTCACCTCGATTCCGAGATCACCTTCAAACAGAATATGTAAATATATTTTGTATGTGAGTAACTCTAAAACATTAGTTCAAGACAAAGCAAATTCAATAAGCACCATTCAACCCTCGCTTGGGGTTCATATTACCCCTTTTAGGAGACAATTTATAACTACCGCAGAGGATTATGCTGTTTTATATGCATTTATATATCTATTAAGGGCTGCTTTATTTACGGCTCGAAATAGAAAAAGGGATGGTAATATTTGTACGCATTTTTGAAACCATAATATATGAAATTTTTGAAAAAATTCTGGGTGCATATTACATTTACATGCATATAGATTATAGAGAAAGCATTCTGTTTCTTAATCAAATGTATTTACTTAAAAATATTATAATCTGTTTCTCATCTTAGGTTTATTAGAGTTTTTACTCATCTTAGGTTTATTGACTACCAGTAACTTAATCTTATAATTAAGTAGGAACTATAATAACATATTTATTGAAAAACTAGTGGTGTATGCATCGTGCCTTAAATCAAGTTGCTGAAACTTCCCGTACCAATTATTTTTTTTTTTTTAAAAAAAATCCTCTTTATACTTTGAAAAAATTAGATTTTTAAGAAATTTTAAATTTTTGAAGATATATAAAAATTTTCAGTTTCGATTTTTTACGATTACTATATCTTACCCTACGGAAAGTTAAAAATGCAACTAATTACAAAAACAATTTTGTCTATATAAAAAAAAATAAAAAAATTAAATGGTAGTCTGTCCGAAGCCAAGTCCATAGTGTAAAAGCCACCACAAATCAATAATTCCTTTTCCCTTCCTCGTCCATAATTTCCACAACCTGTATTCCCACTTTTCTTTTTAATACTTTTTTATGTATTTTCCTTTCGACTTCTTGCGCCTCGACTTTCAGTTCCCTGTATTGTCTTTTCTCGCGTAAGTCATCAACAATCTGCATTCTTCTTCTTCCCATTCCTGTCAGTTCTTCTACTTTACCTTCAACAGCGACATGTAGGAGACACTCTTTTTGCAGAACAGGGTCCAATCCAGCTTTCTTTTCTTTTCAGGATCGTGCTCAGTAGAGTCGTTTTTGGACCACCCTTCTGAAGGCCTTCTCCATTTGTTATCTTATTTGTCTACTTTATCTTCTTCATTCGCCTCTAGCACCAAATTTCATAACATTCCAGGTAGTTTTTGTCGGCCATTCGTAGAGTCCATGTCTTTGATCCATACAGAGCTATGCTCCAGACATAGCATTATAGCTCGTCAGAAGTGTTCTCTTCTATGTGAATTCCGCCTTAGCTTTTGCGATCCTTGTCCGGATCTTTCTCCCAAGTAGAGAGTTAGGATGCTTCCCAAGTATTTGAAAAGATCCACTTCTTCCAAATCTCGATTTTCTATTGTTAACTTCAGAAATTCACATCGTTTTGGTATTCTCATCACTTTCGATTAGTCGATGTTGATTTCTTTTTCTATATAGTAAGTACAAAATGACGTATGATGTAAGGACATAGAAATAGATAGTTTGGTTCTCTTTGGGACATCAGCTCATAAAGCATGAGCCCAAAAGAACGAATTATAAACCATAACCAACCTTCCCCTGGCTCAAATCGGGAATAGACGTCTTTGCAATAAATGCAAGTATCTTCTTTTTTCCGGTAGATAATTCGGTCAGTTTTTAGAAGTAGTTAGAGTAAAAGTTAGAAGCCAATATTCTTTCACAGATATCATCGTTCTTGGCCTCTAATGAACAACCCTGCACTTCTTGCGAAATAAGTACTATTTCTTTAATTAATGTTATTTTGTCTACTGTTTAGGTATGTCCGAAATTAAAAATAAGTACTAAATAACACAACAAGTCCGGATTGATTTTGCTAATTTGGTCTTGCTTGCTTAAGAGAGGTATGTCCGAAAGTGAGCGAAAATAAATAAATAATCAAAATTTTACCGAACACCTGATTATTGCAATAAAATTGATCAAAATCACTAGCACTGGTACAGTTCATTGATTTAATTAAAAATATTTACAATTAACAATAAGTACCTAAGTCCCAAAAAAAACATGACAAAAATGTCTTGAAGATGCTTGTAAATTTCCCAAAAGGAAATATGGAAACTAATTTTGTACCATTCTTTTTGTGAAATTTCGGAAAATATTAGGATATACAGGTAGACAGAGAAAAAAATAAAACAGTAATAAAATTTATTTTTATATGTATAATTTTAATTCGCATGCTAATTAATCAATTTGATATCTACCATTAAACCATGGAAAAATTTCATTCATCAAAATAAATTATTGCATAAATTATTTCAAAACTATGTGTTACATATTTATTATTGCTAGCATTGAAATAAATAATCGAAGTAAGTCAAAATCATAAAACTTGCCGATAACAAAATGTCATATGGACTAGTTTTTATAGAGTTTTATGACACTCTGCATCCTAGATAGTTTTTATGAAAATTAACACTTTATCGCTCAGCACGACACCAAACTGGTGGATTACATGTTATTTGTAAACATCTGTGTATGTCCTGTATGCAACATATGTAGTTCAACCCTTTGGATTATTTTGCGAACTCTTTATTTTAGTGTCATATGTTTGCAGATTATGCGGGTTATTGAACCGCATGTCAAACAATGACATACTTATTCTGATATGAATATGATATGTACTTTGCTATTTTATAGAAAGATAGCGTTGCGAAATATAATTATAAAACACTACTTTTTGCTACATTTTTTATTCTCTATTTTATTTACAACATGTAAGGACATGTAGTAAATTTAGGGATTTTCCGATTGTCACCCGTAAAGGGACATTGTATACTATAGTGACATGTTGGAAAAACAACTCAATAGTTGTTTTTCCATTCGTTATAAAGAATATTAAAAATTGATAATAATATAAACTTAACCATTTTCTTATGAATAATAATTAAATTATTTCATTCTTTATCAGAAAAATTGATGACTTAAATCAAGTGGCGATTTTCTCTTCAATCTACGTCGATAGTTTTCTGTTATTAAGGAGTTTGCTAAATAATATTAGTATTTGTAATCACATTATTTATTAAAATAATGTAATTTGTTTCAAATGTACTGTTTAACATGTCTATTTTATAAGTTCCAAATTTCAGAAATGAATTTGATAATGTATGTAATAATTATTATTACCTGAAGGCAAACTGCTGAACTTTTTTAAGAAATAATTCATATCGATGGTGCACTTTTTGTCTTTTGTTTGAACATATTTGTAATGTTTTAATAATAAAAAGGTAAATTTCAATAATAAAAATAATCAAATATGGATGGATTAAACATTGAGTTACCATCTGCCCAATAGCTTATATAACGTATGGTTCTTTTATTTTCAAATATGAGAATAAAGTTAAATAAATTAAAATATTTGTATGCTTTTTTTTAATTTTGTAAGAGTAAATATAAATATACATTAATATAAAGGAAGAAATAATAATGTTTTTTTTTTCAAATTCGTATGTGCAAATATTATAATAATATTTTAAATATATATATTTTAAAAATTTGGGTTCATGGTACTAAAATTTAAGTTCGAAATTCTGGAAACAAAATTTAACGAATAATATTTGTCTGTCGCTTTTTAAAATACAAAATACCTACAATTATCGCATACTCGTTTCTGGCAAATTTCGAGTTCGAATTGAAAAATTTCTATTAAAATATGAACGCATTATTTTTGTCTTCAGATAGATTAGCCTTTAATAATACTAACATTGGATTAAAAATACCAACATGTGGGAGTTTTTTTATTGAAAAAAAAAATGTTTAAACGTTATATAAAGCATTTAATTTAAATAACAAAAATATGTAATAAATTAACAACATAAAAAGTTTTTAATAACACTATATGACTGCGTCATAGCTTCGATTTTTGCACCTGAACAAACTACTACAAATCATACCGCTCTGACATGAAATTCACATAAACTCCGCTTGCAGGTTCTTTAATTTCTTACTTGAAGAAACAAATAATTAAAAGACAAACTCTACTATCATTATTTAACAATTAAACCATTTTTCAAATATTTATATTATTTATAAATTCTTGATAATAGTATTTTGATATTAACTGCTTCGTCAATTTGATGTTTGTACTGTAATTGG